ATCAAATATGCATGTGTTTAAAAGGCACCTTCCAGCAGCAGCCCCACAGCCAGGCAGGATGTGGCTCCTCAGGGAGTTTACCTGCATGGCTCACCAGCGCTAAGCCCTGGTCGCCTGTACTGCCTCCTGCACCTGCGCCCCACATGGGCTGTGCTCTGTGGGTCCTCACCACCTGAAGACTGCCATGCTAATGCTGGGAATTAAATCCAAGGGTGCTGCAGCATTGAACTATGTCTCCAACTCCCTGTTTTTTTGGGGTTTTTTGGAGGGTGCTGTTGAGGCAACACCTGCTAGGTTTATCTGGGTAGCACTCAGACTTTTTTTTTGGCGGAACTGGGGATTGAACTCAGGCCGTTTCGCTTGTCAGACAAGCACTAATTCTACTGAGCCATCTCCCCAGCCCCAGGACTCAGACTTGAAGTTCTCCTGTCTTAACCTCTCAGAATGCTGGGATTATAGGCATGTGCCATCTTGCAGGGAAAAGGTTAGTTGGTTATTTTATTTATTGTCCTTTCTGGTGTGTGAGCATAGAACCCAGGGCCTCTGTGTTAGGTGAGCACTTAACTGCCAGGCTATGCCTCTGGTCCCCATAGGAATGTATTGCTCACAGCACTGGAGACTTAGAAACCCAAGATCAAGGCACCAGTGGGTTCTGTGTCTGATGAGGGGGCCTGGTTCTCAGCATTGGGAGCTTGATGCTGAGGATGGAGCTGTCATCCCCTCCCCAGTACAAGGAGTTGTATTGGACAGCTGGGTGTGGTGGCACATACCTAGGACTGGGGAAGCTGAGGCAGGAGGATCACTTCTCCTGAGATTGAGGATCGCTCTTCCTCTTGAGTTTAAGGCCAGCCTGAAGTGCAGAGTGAAACTCTGTCTCAAAAAGACAATCATAAAAAGGGCCGGGTAGATGACTCAGTGGAATAAGCGCTTCCCTGGCAAGCATAAAGGCCTGAGTTCAAACCCCGGTTCTGAAAAAAAAAAAAAAAAAAAAAAGGTACCAAAAAGACAATCATATTAGGCAGGCGTAGCTACACTCCGTGTTGGAGTGCTTATTGACATCTGGTGTGTGGGTTTGATCCAGATTACCTCCCAAAAGAAAAGAAAAATGTGTGTTTCTTATTTTGCCATGAGAGGGGTAGAACTTGGGGCCTCAGGCATGGTGGACAAGCACTCTGCCACTGAGCTACTTCCCAGGCCTGATAGTTTTTGTTTTGATGCTGAGAATGGGACCTAGGACCTTGCTGATGTTAATCAAATGCTAAACCACTGACCTACACCCTCCCTAAAATTTACAGGAACACAAGCATTAAAGCCATAACACGTTAGTGCTCACAATTTCTGTGTCTTTCTTTTTTGAGACAGTCTCAAGTCTTGTAGCCCAGGCTGGCCCTGAGTTTATGGTGGTCCTCCTGCTTCGGCTTCTAGAGAGCTGGGCTAACAGGCTTGCGCCACTATGTCTGGCTATTTTCTGTGCCTTTGACAGTTCCCCAGGAGCCTGAGATCTGTTGCCCCTGCTTATGCTGGCTGAAGATTCCTGAGTGCTTTTCCCAAACAGCAAGCAGTTTCCATTCCCAGGAATAGTCTGGCTGGCATGTGACTCAACAGCCGTGAGAGCCACCATCCACTCAGGGCTTGGAGCCCCAGCTGGGACCCTGGCTGTAGGCCACCCCTGGGGCAACTGGCACTTCGTGCATGGCCAGATTAGTGCTTCTGAGCTTTACTGCTGTTTAGACACATTATCGAACAGAAAAGAATGAGAAAGTGATAGGAACAATTACCCATGAATTCTGTAGACAGGTCAACTGTGTGTGGTCACAGCAGTGAGCCATACAGGTAAACTCCCTGACTCCCAGGAGCCAACTTGGAGCTGGCATTGTGGCACGCACCTTCCATTCCAGGGTGCTGGGGGGCTGGTGTTTGAGGTCTTGGTTGGGTTGAGGCAAGAACTGTCACTTCAGTGTGCAGATTGCTGCCTTCATTCTTCTACCCTTCTTTTTTTTTTTGAAAATATTTACTTTTTTTTCTTTTCAAAGTTTTAATGATAAACATATAGCAATGAGACAGTTTCAAATCAAATCGAAAGTACAGTTTCAACAAATAATACACTGCATACATTCTTCCTAGTGGTTAATTGCTGTACAAGATGCAGACTTGTGATCCTACTTACATCATTAGAAAAAATCATTCTATTCATTAAGAGAATGCAACTATATATCTATCCTAACCACTTTGAATACACAGATACAAAATGGACATTCATAGTTATACCCCAATTTTTTTTAAGTTCCGTTGTTGAATATTATAGGTGTGTAAACTCAGCAATCTTCTACCCTTCTAACCCTACTAAGACTTAATTCCCTCCCAAAGACAGGTCCTGTGAATTCTTCATAGACGTAGGACATAGTCTCCAGCAGAGCCTCAAGATAGAGCAGGATGCCTTCAGGTCGCAGCTTCTGTAGGAGGGCTATGCTTTCAGCCTGCCATAGTCCCTCCAGGTCAGTTCTAATGTTTCCTGTCATAGCAAAGTTGCTGGGCTGGCTCAGAGCATAGTAAGACCCTGTAGTGTTGAGGGTTTAGTGTGAGAGGTGAGTACAGGCACCACGCAGAAAAGTGAAGAACTGGTGGACGCTCCAGGCTGAGGCAGAGCCAGCCACACTGGGGGACACCACCCCTTTACCCATTATCCCTGACCCAAGACTTAAGCACCTTTGATCCAGTGGACTTGCGGACAGCCAGCCTCTGCTGTTGGCTGCTCTGCGTGGTGGGGACAGACGTGGCAGGTTGAGAAGCCTTGACTCTGCCGATACTATGCACCCTACCAGTTACACAGCCAGGAACCTGGAGCTGTCTCTCGTGGAGCCCAGTGTGTTGAGAGTGCTCAGGGATGGACAGAAAGTCACTGGGATCTCTGCAGCATGCACACCTAGGCCCCTGCTCTCCAGCGTCACGGGAAGGGCCCTTGGCGCTCTTGGCTGAGCCTTTTATACCAGTTGCCTATGCATCTGCATTGCTATTTGGGGGCTGACAAGCACCAGGCTCTAAGGCTGGGGCTGCCTTAGGGAAAGAAGCTGGATCCCAGGGCTTGTGGCCTGCATTTCCATTGCCTCCTGCTTCCCGCAGAACTTCAGGGCTTCAATTGCCCCGTGCTCCCTGTGTGCTGAGTACCCACCAAGACTCATCATTTACCTGTGGGGCACCCACTGAGGATGGTCTGGGATTGGGCTTGCCAGTGTAGCATAACAGCTCTGGATGCAGCATTTGTGCTGTATTATGAGTTAGGTCATGTATAGGAAGGTTCTCTGGAAATGCAGTTTGTCCCATCTTGTATGGGGCACTTGAATGTGTGGTGTGTGGCATCTGCCAGGTGCTTTCCTGTCATGGGACCAAATAAATGATATCTGTGACTTGAGAGTTTAGTTTTGACTCCATTTCAGAGGATTCCACTGGCCCGCAGGCAGAACTGGCAAGATCAGAGGGCATGGTGGGATAGCTGCTCACCTGCAGCAGCCAGGAAGTAGGGAAAAGGGAAGCAGGGACCCCCCCCCAGCCCCACCCCACTGTGCAATTGCATGGTCAGCCCCAAGCTGATCCCAGGGTAAGTCTGCTGCTAGGTCAGTGTGCTTGGACCTGGTCACCTTCTGGAAGTCCCATCTCTAAACGTGGGACATCCGGGAGATATTTTAAGTCTAAACCACAACAGTATCTACCCCAGGGAGTTTCTGTGTGTGCATGCGTGTGTACACATGCATGGGGCATTGCGTTGGCAAAAGTCACATGTGGCTATGTGCAGGGTGCTTCGGATACAACCTGGACCTGGCACATGCTGGGCAGGTGCTTTGCCCCAAGTTGTACCCCTGGCACTCCCCTGTCTTTATGCTAGTGGCTATGTAAGTTGACATCAGTGTGATTGGTATTGGCATTTCCCTGGTGACGCTGGTGGTTTTGTGTAACTTCAAGGGTGTCATTGAGCCAGCAAGGCCAGACTCCTGACCCTTGTATTGTATGCCCTTGAGAGGTGGGAGTGGGAGTAGTTTGCACTGCTGCATGGGGGACCCCCCCCAATTTTTAGGCAGGCTCCCTCAGCATTCAAGTATCTGGGTGTGAGTGTATTTCTACCCTAACTGCAGAGGGACAATGCTTGGCTGCTGTGCCTTGTAGGTGACTTACAGATTGGACAATACAGTCGGCTTTCAGTATCCATGGGTTCTGTATCTTCAGATTCAGTCAGTTGCACATCAGAGACTGAAAAATATTTCTGTGAATTAAAAATATTTAAGAGAAAAATTGGCATTCAAGCTGAGTGTGGTGGGCTTGAAGGGAGATGACTCAGTGGAATAAGTGCTTCCCTGGCAAGCGCAAGGGCCTGAGTTCAATCCCCAGTCCCACATTAAAAAAAAAAAAAAAAAAACACCTGTCTTTCAAGATGAGCGTGGTGGGATTCAGCTGTCATCTCAGCATTCGATAGGGAGGGTGATGCAGGAGGAGCTCAAGTTAGAGCCCAGCCTGGATAGTTTAGCTACTTGGTGAGATTCATCTTACAGTTGAGCAAAAAGGTTCTGGGTTCCATTCCCAGTGCCTCTAAGAAAAATTGCATCTGTACTGTGTGTAGACTTTTCTTGTCATTCTTCCAACACCATTATGTAGTGATTGCACCTCCTCCTGCATCACCTATTACTATGGAGAGATTATGTAAAATCTCCCAAATGATGTGCATGCCTTCTTTGCAAATATGGAGCCATTTGATGTAAGGGACTTGGACACCCACAGATTTTGCTCTCCACGGGGACCTCAGGCAGCCACCCTCCTTGGATACTAAGGTATAACCCATATGTCCTAAAGGCAAGAGTATACCAGGACATGAGGTAAGGTGGGCCTATGCAAGCCTATCAGAGATAACAGATTGTGTTGTAGGTGTCTTAAGTTCCCACCCACTGACGCCCAGCCCTGAGGGACTACATTTGACCACTTTACCCTATTGTCTCTCCCTGTCTGCTGTGCAGCCGCCGCCATGGCCCAGACTCTGCAGATGGAGATCCCAAACTTCGGCAACAGCATCCTTGAGTGCCTCAATGAGCAGCGGCTGCAAGGCCTATACTGTGATGTGTCGGTGGTGGTTAAGGGCCATGCCTTCAAGGCCCACCGGGCTGTGCTGGCTGCCAGCAGCTCCTACTTCCGGGACCTGTTCAATAGTAGCCGGAGTGCAGTGGTAGAGCTGCCAGCGGCCGTGCAGCCACAGTCCTTCCAGCAGATCCTCACATTCTGCTACACAGGACGGCTGAGTATGAATATGGGTGACCAGTTTCTGCTCATCTACACAGCTGGCTTCCTGCAGATCCAGGAAATCATGGAGAAGGGCACTGAGTTCTTCCTCAAGGTGAGCTCCCCAAGCTGTGACTCCCAGGGCCTGCATGCTGAGGAGGCCCCGTCGTCGGAGCCGCAGAGCCCCGTGGCGCAGACGTCGGGCTGGCCGGTCTGCAGCACGCCGCTATCCCTGGTGTCTCGGGTCAAGACAGAGCAGCAGGAGTCGGACTCCGTACAGTGTACACCTGTGGCCAAGAGGCTGTGGGATGGCAGCCAGAAGGAGGCTGGAGGTGGCAGCGGGGGCAATGGCAGCCGCAAGATGGCCAAGTTCTCCACGCCAGATCTTAACACCAACCGGACGCCCCAGCCAGCCCCGGTGGTTGCAGCCGTGGTGGCAGCTGGGGGCATGATGAGTGGGCCTAGCACATCTGAGCGGACCAGCCCAGGCACCTCAAGCGCCTACACCAGTGACAGCCCCGGCTCCTACCACAATGAGGAGGATGAGGAGGAAGATGCAGGCGAGGAGGGAACAGACGAGCAGTACCGGCAGATCTGCAACATGTACACCATGTACAGCATGATGAACGTTGGCCAGACAGGTAGGGTGATGCCATGCACACCAACCTGGGCTTACATGTGGATGTGCGGCACACATGCACATCCTTTGCTCTCTCCTTGCAGCTGAGAAAGTAGAGGCCCTTCCTGAGCAGGTGGCCCCTGAGTCCCGCAGCCGCATCCGGGTGCGACAAGACTTGGCATCTCTCCCTGCTGAGCTCATCAACCAGATTGGCAACCGCTGCCACCCCAAGCTCTATGATGAGGGGGATCCCTCAGAGAAGCTGGAGTTGGTGACAGGTATGCTGACCACACCTATCTCCAGATCCCTGTCTCCTACCTACGTCCCCTGTCACTGTGACGGGCTTTAGGTGCTCCCAACTGTTTTCCATCTGGGCTGATGTGGGTATGGCTGTATGGTGTAGCTCAGGGCCATCTAGGGCATGGGGGTTGCCTGCAGCAGTGCCTTGGGCCTCTGCTTCCTCCCAGCTGCCCTCTCTGACCTGAGGCACCCTGGTCTGTTTGCCACTTTATAGAGATGGCCCTGCTGGCCTTGATGTAGGGCCTGGCACAGAGCAACAGGGCAGGCCCCTCTGAGTGCCTCAGGCCAAAGAGAAGGATGTGTGGGTTTTGAGAAAGGAACAGGGGAACATGGAACACCTTTGCCACCTCCCTTACCAGGCACCAACGTGTACATCACAAGGGCACAGCTTATGAACTGCCATGTCAGCGCGGGCACGCGGCACAAGGTTCTGCTGCGGCGGCTTCTGGCCTCCTTCTTTGACCGGTGAGGCTTTCACCAGGGAAAGGGAGGGTGGCCCCACACCCTCAGCCGCAGGTACTGACTACCATATCCCATCACCCCCAGGAACACGCTGGCCAACAGCTGTGGCACTGGCATCCGGTCTTCCACCAACGATCCCCGACGCAAACCACTGGACAGCCGTGTCCTCCACGCCGTCAAGTGTGAGTTGCTTTCTAGGGCATAAGGGTTCGGGTTTTGTGTGTCTCCCTCCTGTGTTTCCCCTGAGGTGAGGGAGGGCTGGATTTGATGCCAAGGAAGATTCTGAGGTGCAGCCTGGGCTTGTTGGGAGTGGATGTAATCAGACTGTTCATGGTTGGGGATGATGCTGATGGGAGGGGGCCCTATGGGTACAGAGGGTCTCCTGCTTTGGGCATTTAATTATGGCAGGGTGGACGTGAACAGGCAGAGCCTGCCAAGGGGCCACTCCCTATGCTGCCAGCCCACTGTCAGGGGGAGGGTCCAGGTGTTTAGGTTCTATCAGGTGATGCCAGCTCTTTAGGAAACTGGGCGTTCCCACCAAACACACTGTGCCCACTTGGTCAAGCTTGGTCTGAGAGACTGCTCTGCCCACAGACTACTGCCAGAATTTTGCCCCCAACTTCAAAGAGAGCGAGATGAATGCCATCGCGGCTGACATGTGCACCAATGCCCGCCGTGTGGTGCGCAAGAGCTGGATGCCCAAGGCAAAGCCGCCCCTGGCAGAGGGTGATGCCTACACTTCTTTCATCAATGACACCGGCAAGATGGAGCCAGACATGATGGGCATGGAGCACAGCTTCGAGACGGCCAGCCATGATGGCGAGGCGGGCCCCTCGGCAGAGGTCCTCCAGTAACGCATGGGGCCCTCCCCGCGGGCTGTCACACTCCCTTCCTGTCACACACCCACCACCATCTTGGTCACGAGCTACTGTCTACCCCTCCCCACAACCCGCGGGGGGCGCTGCATGCTCCCAGCCCCTCTGCCTCACTGTTCCCCCCCTTCCCCACTGGAGCCAGGTGGAGAGGGTGGGCCGCCTGGGACACACGTGCAGTAGGGAGCCCTGTCCACCTCCTAGCTCTCTGGTCATTCCAGCTCCCAGGCCTGGCTTGGGGAGGAGCCGGCCTGGGGGGCCCTGGGGACTCGGGTTACCTGGGTGCTCTCAGGACCCCTCCACCATCTCCCAGTGCTTCCATGTCTCCAAAGCGCCTTCCTGTCTCTGTCCCTCGTCTGTCCCTGTGCCTGGGGGCTGGGTAGGCGAGGCTGTGGGACTCTACTGCACAACTAGGGAACAGGCTCAGATGAGGCCCAGAGCAACCCTGAAGCCCACAGATGGAAGGTGGCCAGGGTGGCCCACACCCCTCTCCTGGCACTGCCGTTTTGTTACTGTCATCCCATAGGTCCCCTGGGGCCCAAGTGAGGCTGGTCCTAAGTGAGGGGGGCTCTTGAGGAGCGACGGGTCTCAGAGGCCAGGAGAACGGGGTCTTGGGCTCAGCGCTTGTGGATGTTCACGTGTGCGTGTGTACGTTTGCTTTCAGAATAGATGGAGGTGGGAAGACCCGGGTTGGACTCGGGGGAGCAGGAAGGGTGACAGAGTGGTCACCCTTCCCCATCAGCACCCTACCCCTCAGCAGGGCTCCCAGCCCCTCGCCCCCTGTACATACTTTTTAAGAATTTTTTTAGTGAATGAACTATTGAAGCATAAGATTTCCTTTTATTTTTCAAACCAACGGGACTGTGTCTGAGGTCCCCCTGAGGGCCAGGGGGCCATGGAAGGCAGGATAAGTGGGCAGGCTGAGTGTGTGCATGGGTGGAGTATGGGTGCCTGGGCCTCAGTGGGTCCAGCTAGCCCCTCCCTTCCCCACCCCATGGCTGCAGTGTTTTGGGGTGTCCCAGGCCTTGGCTGATGACTGAGCTCAGTCCTGGGGAACCAGGGGAGGACCTATGTCCATTGTTAGCGGTTGTTTGTGGAATTTTTCTCTCACCATTCCTTTTTTATTGCCCTGAGTGAGTGGTTGTGGTTTGAGTTGTAGATGTGAACACAGAGGCTGCCCCCAGTCGTTTCTCCCCCTGCACACTTGCTCAGCCCTGCCAGCCCTGCCCAAACCCCTGGCTCCCAGCTCCTCTTCCCAGGCAGGGGTAAGGTGGGGGTTGGGGCCAGCGGTGGGTGGGACCCAGGACTGGGCCCTGGTTTGGAGATGGTCCCCAGCCTGCCAGGTTCCCTCCTGACATCGGCTTGGTGCCGGGTGAGGGTGTTGGGCCTGCTCCCTGGGTCCAGCCCGGCACCTCGGCCCTGGGGTACAGGGGGGTGGGGAGTCGGCACCCTCAGCTAAGCACAAGCACCTTAGTCGCACTCCCCCTCCACCCACTTCAGCGCTGATCCCAAAGCACAATGTCCTGGTCACTTGGCAGGCAGCAGGCCCTGAGGGGCCCCAGCCAGACCCCAGAGAAAGCATAGTCCCAGGAGCTCCTCCTCACCCATTCCCACTCTTCCTCTAGCGGGGTGCCCTGCAGAGCTGGGTGGGTGGCAGAGGCCCTGGGTTTCAGGGACCCCAGGAGGTGCTCCTGGCTCCCTGGGGGAAGTGGGGGAGGGGAAGGGGTGCAGGGGAGGAGACTCCTCACTAGGAGAGCCAAAGACAGGGTTGTGCCTTACCCGGGAGCCACCCCTGCGCCCACCGCTTGCCAGGTGGCCAGCTGCCCATCCCATCCCTGCCCATCCTCCCAGTCCTGCTGAGCTGCATGGTCCCCCCACCCTGGGCAGTCCGGAGGAACAGGAAAGGAAAATTCCATCTAGAAAAGCAAAGGACCCTTGGGCCCTCTCCCCAGCTCCACTGGCCGCCCACACCCTTCTCAGGGGACAGGTCACCCCCATCCACGTGAAGTGCCAACGCCCTCCCCGTCCCGGGCCGAACCCCCACCCCTCCCTGGCCCGAAGTGAGATTGCACATTAACTACTGTAAGGAGCGGAGTGGGCGTTAGGAAATGTGAACCTGACGAGAATAAACAGACGCCTTTGTAACAGCCCTGTGCCTGCTGCTCACTGGGGTTGGGTAGGCAGGGCTCCAGGGAGCTGGGCAGTGGCCGCCCTCTCCATGCCCCTGCTCCTACTCAGATTTTCCATGAGTTGGAGGGGTGGCTCTGGGGCCCAAAGCCCTGTCTTCCACAGTGCTGGAATTATAGTTGTGTGACACCACTTGTAATGTGTGTCTACCAGCTTGAACCACCAGTGATACATGTATGGCTGTCCCATCTGGTGCCTTGAGTCACTCATGGGCTGGCCCTATAACGCCTGATGGGACATTCATGTGTGCACAGCCAGGTTACACCTGTCAGTGAATATGTTAAAGCACTAGGTGATACACAGTGGTACACACCTTTAATCCCAGCACTGAGGCAGAGGTAGGAAGTGGGATGTGATTTGTGAGGAATGACATCTGTCTCAAACCAAAACCAAGATGTATTAAAAGATGTTCAGGTCTGTGTCTATGATGATCTCCCTGAGGCACAGAAAAAGCAGATGATATGGAGGCTAACCTTTCCAAGCTTAAGAAACCTGAATTTTCAGTGGTAACAAGCTACCTACCCATTGTTAAAAGTGGCCACTGGATCCCCTAGTGTGTTGTGTAGGAGTGGCTTGGGGATTGCCACAGGTGTCCCACCAAGGTCCCTTAAATTGACAGCACTCCAAAAGATGCCAGCGGGTGTAAATAGTGCTGGATTTTACTTCCAACTTGGCACCCTTAAGGCACAGGCAAATAGCTCTGGGGTCCAGGGCAGGATATAGGTGGACATGTGTTCCAAGATCTCCCTGCCTCTGCCACCTCTTATGGGCACTTGGGGCAGAACCAGTGGTGCAGGGTTTAGCTCAGGGTTCCACCAACTGGATGAGAGCCTTGGGGACAGGTGGCTGGCCCCGCTCCTCCTCTTTAAGGACAAGGCTAGCTCCAAAGTGGCACTTGGGCTCCGTGGGCACCAAAGGGCCTGGGCAACAAAAGGATAGCCATGCCCAGCAGTACCATTGCTGCAGGTCAGGGATTAAAGGGTCAGAGGTCACAGGAGGACCAGCCTGCTTGTCTCCCCCCCCCTTTTTTTTGAGACAGTCTTAGTGTATTTCAGGGTGACCTTGAAATTGCAGAGATCCTTCTGCCTCGGTCTTCTAAGTGTTGAGATTACAGGTGTGCGCCACCATGCCCAGCTGACCTTGTGTCAAGATCACCAGTACTCACCATTCAGGACATTCCCTGAGGGTCCTGTCCATTTGGGCTTGAGTGTGTTCCATGTCGTGTGCAAAGGTGTCTAATGCGCTGCCAGGACTGAGGTGGCACCTGCCTATCAGTGTCTGAGACACCCAGCCCACAGTGGGCTTCTCCAGCTGCACACATTTCCGAGCCTGAGTGCTCTGACACCAATCTAAGCTGCTGGTGCCCTAGTCCAGGATCAGCTATGGAGTAGAGTGGGCATGTGGTGAATGAAGACCCTGAGCATCCCCCAGAACCCCCACCCCAGGGCTCCTGCCTTCCATGCAAATCTGGCAACTGGGTGGCAACCAGGTGACACTTGGGCAGTTGGCCTGCCTTGTGGCATCTCTGGGTTAAAGGTTACGCAGGCAGGCATGGTGGTGCACACCTGTAATTCTAGTACAGTACTGGGGAGGCTGAGGCAGGAGGAGTACTAAGAGATGAAGGCCAGCCTGTGCTACACAGTGACTCAAGAAAAAAAAAAGTGGTTAGTGTGCTGGAGACCATTTCCTCAGTCTGCCACTTGCTAGCAAAGTGACTCCAAGGCGGGTGTTACGTGACCACCGTGAGTCTCAATTTCCCCATCTGTAGAACAAGGAAAGCTCTAATCCTTGCCTCCTACCTAAGGTTGAAATATCAATATAGGCTACTCCACAGGCAATGTGTGCCTGACACACTAGTGACTCTTGCCTTTCCTTACTGTTTTACACTACTGGGAGGCAGCTGGTGGCCAGATGCCTGAACTTGTATTTGGTTTCCATCACTTGTTGGATTAAGCTCAATCCTTGCTTCCTGAGACTAGGTCTAAGAAAATGAATACACTCATTTATTTTCTCTGGTTTTTCTTCCCTTTTGGGATTGAACCCAGGACTGTTACATTGAGTTCTGTCACTAGCCCTTTTTTTTTTTTTTTTTTTTTTTTCTTTTTCCAGAACCAGGGATTGAACTCAGGTCCTTGTGCTTACCAGGCAAGAGCTTATTCTACTGAGCTATCTCCCTGACCCTTTTTCTACTTTTCTGAGGCAAAATCCATGTAGCCCAAGCTGGCCTAGAACTCATGATCCTCTTACCACAGCCTTTTTTGAGTGCTGGGATTACAGATGTGTGTACACCATGCATGGCTTTGTTTTTAGCCTCTTTTAGTATTTTCACATGGAGATGTCTTGTGAAGACTGGTCTCAACTTTAGGATCCTCTTGTCTCAGCTTCCCAGTGTTCTGGGAATATAAACATGTCACCAAACCCAGTTTTTCCTCCCTCCCTCCCGCTGCCTGGGTCCAGAGGAGCCTAAATGTTAATTACTGAAATATTCAGCAGTCAGCCTGTCAACAGATCTATCTCAGAGCTTGGATTTTTGTTCTCAAAGCTTCACATGCAGAAGGGCAGGAGCTTCAGGGTGTCAAAGGATGTTGGCTGCAGCCCCCAATGTTCAGATCCTATGTGGACTTGGAGAGGACAGTGGGGGCTGGTATTTCTCGGCATTTGAACGACACAGGACTGGGGGAAGATAATCAGGGAGCAGAGGACAGCTGCACGGGGGGTTCTGGTGTGTATTTGGAGAACCCAGTGGAGCAGGTATACAGAAAGAAGGTGGGTGTGCCTCTGCTGCAAGGTCAGATGTGCACAGACCCTCAGTCCCTAGGCTTCAGGAAATAGACCTACTAAAAAAATACAGGTAGGGCCGGGGAGATGGCTCAGTGGAATAAGCGCTTCCCTGGCAAGCGCAAGGCCTGAGTTCAATCCCCGGTTCCGCAAAAAAAAAAAAAAAAAAAAAAAATACAGGTAGCTGGATGTGGTGGTGCATGCCTGTAATCCCAGCACATGGGAGGTGAGGCAGGAGGATCATGGTGATTTTAACTTAAGGGACACCTTGGGCTCCACAGCAAGACCATGTTTCCTAAATACATAAATGTGAGAAAAGAAATACAGATGTCTCTTGATGCCCTCAAAAGATTGGATCCAAGATCCCCACAGGTACCAAAATCCTTGCATGCTGCCTGAATCCCTTACAAGCTATGGTGTAGTATAGGAGACAGGTGAACATGGGCAGGCTGGCTCTCCACCGAGTGGGTCACCTGGACGATGTGTGGAGGTACCGGGAGCCTGTAAAGCTACAGCTGCTGGCAAGGTCGTGTGGTCTTTCACTTCTTGCAGGTGAGGTCAGACATTAGTGTACAGATACTCAAACTCAGGAAGCCATGGTGTCACACACCTGTCATCCCAGTACTCAGGAGGCTGAGGCAGCAAAATGCTCGCCGGCTACAAACCAGCTTGAACCACATAGCGAGCCCCTTGTCTTGAAAACAGTTCAACTCCCTCCCTCAGCCCACTAGGGCCTTCCTCACCTGAACGCTCTCCTGCATGGCCCCAGAAAACATTCGCCTCTCCGGCAGGATCCGGCGTGGGGCTTGAACCTGCCCAGGTTGGCTTTCAACGTGTGGATGTAGACCAAAAGGGTCAATGCAAGGCCTGCACCTCACCCCTGCACCCTGCTCCCCGGGTAGCCTCACGCAGCCCAGGAATCGTATTCCCCGTCAGGCCGCCACGGGTCACCATGCATCGCGTCTGCCCGACACGAGGGCACTGCCACTCACCCTAGGACCACAAAAACGGAATCCTCGAGAGAAGGGTTACCCCTCCCGCCCTGGTCAAGCCTCTCCCGCCAGGCGTCCGTCCGCTCGATCATTATTTCCTAGCGCCGGGAGCGCGCCTCTGCCACACCCCGGTAACGCCACAGTCCAGAGCTGGTCCTCCCGCGGAGAAAGAGGCCACCGTGGACCAAAGTGTGGGAACTTCCGCCCCGCTGCGGCCATCTTGGTTGCAGGCAGAGACAACTTCCGGTCCTCAGGCCACGCCCTTCCGCCTCCTCCGGGCCTGGGAACACTCGCGGTCCCAGTTCCTGTCTAGCTCTTGGGTCTGGAGCGGCGATCTCAGTTCCAGCCCAAACCCGTAAGACTGTGCCCGCGCAAACTGTTTCCCTTTGAGGAAACGTAAATAACACCTTTCCCTCACTCAGGTTATAGGCGTAGAGAGCCTTTTATTTAATTAAATTAATTTTATTGTATTCGGACTTGAACCTAGGGTTTTCGTACTAAGCTACATCCAAGTCGTTGAATTGCCGAGGCTGGGTTTGTACTTGGTACCCTCGTGTCTCAGCCTCCCAGAGTGTTGGGATGACCGGTGTGCCCTGCTTGGAATCACTGAACCTTTACAAGGACGCCCCGAGTTAGCCCGGTTGAACCGGTTCCTGTCCTTCGCGCGCGGGGAGCCCTCCTACGTGGTTCACGGAACGCTCCCCCTCGCCCCTCCTTTCATACAAGAGGGGCAGGAAGCACCTCGAGGTCGCCTGGGCGGGGGGACGCGGGGGCCCTGGGACATCCGGAGAGTCCCTTCCCGCGCCTGTAAGCAAGTGGGTGTCGCAGATTCGCGTGCTCGGGGCTCAGCCTTGCTGGATGCGAACCCGAGGGTCGCACGGTGGAGGCTCTTGAGAATTCTCCAGGGGCCTCTGCGTGCCCAGTCGCGGCCCTGTGAGATTCCCGGGTGCCCCTTGTGTAGCGGAATGTCTCCCCTGGGTCTCTGGGCCCCTGGTCCCCCCGTGGAGGACGAGGGGGGCACGTCCCCGGGGTGCAACCCTCCAAGGTGCTGCCCATTCTCCGCGTTGCCAGGAGCGATCTAGGCCGGCGCCTGGCCTGGGAATGGTCCCGCGCAGGTAGCAGGATAGAGGAGGGCGCCCGTGCCCACAATAGGTCGCCGCAGGATGTGAAAGGATAGACAGATGGGGACAGTCTGGGAGAGGTCTAGGGAAGAGGAAGGATTGAGTACCCACTTGCGACAAGGGATGGAAACAGAAGGTGCTCAAAGGCTTGACATTCAATTAGGGGGCTGGGCGTGGGGGCCATGCCTGGAATCCATCGCCTCTGGGAGGCTGAGGCAGGAGAATCACAACTCAGAGCCCAGACTGGGCAATTTAGTGATACCATCTCAAAAAACGGGGGGAAAAAAAAAAAAAAAGCCTGAGGACGTAGCTCAAATGTGAAGGCCCTAAATTCAGTCCCCAGAACGGCAATCAATCAAATCGGGCGGGTGGCAGGAGTGATTTGGGAGAGACTATCCAGGAAGTGAACGGGATCTCTGCAGGGAAGTGAACAGCAAGATCTTTATGTGAAGCCTCTGGGGACGGCGCCCGTTACGTCCTGGGTCACCCAGGGGTGAGCCGAGGGCTTTCCCAGCTGGGCGTCGCACCTCCCCTCAAAGCAAAACCCCACCTGCCAGGCTGGACGCTCGCCCGGAAGTCCCGGCCCAGGAGGCAGAGGGAGGCATTCCTAGAGGCGCAGGCCCCGCCCCTCCCGTTCCGGACACCTGCCCTTATATGGGCAGCCGGAAGCTGTTCGTGCATTGTCTACGTCACCACTTCCAAAATTAGCTCGGGAAGTCAGCCGGCTCCTGTGGCTAGCAGGCTAGACTAGTAAAGTGGGGAGGGGGCGCCCATTAAAGGAGCCGCACAGTGGATAAATGGAGCTATAGGACAGCTTTGCTTTGTGCGTGTTTGCGCGCGTGTGTGCAACTGGAACTGAGTTTTCTTCGATCGCGTGGTGGTGGGTAGGGCAGATGTTTTTGCTCTTTACTGGCAAGGCACAGTATATAGCTCCCACCCCAGCTCCGCCCCCCGGGGGCGTGGAGGCCGAGCCTAGCCCAGAGCCTGGGTGGGAGACGCATGTCCCGGCTAAACTGCGCCATGCTGCCTCCCTCCCACCGCCTAGGGTCTGGAGGGTTTGGCGAGCACTGGAGCCGGTGGGCTGCAGGTAGGTCCAGGCCCGGCACTATGGCTGCCATTCATTTTCTTGGAAGACCAAGAAAATGGACAAGTGGCCTTCTTCGCTTTTCCACCTAAAAACAAATATAATCCTATCTTCCACCGAGTTGAAGGTGAGGGATCCGACGAGCCTGTTCAATCTCGTGGTGCGCGCCTGTGATCTCAGGAAGCTGAGGGAGGAGGATCATTAGGAATTTCAGGCCAGCCGGGTCTCAGCACCCCCACCTCCAAGATTAATAAGCCTGGCACATAGAAAGCTCTGAACTAGCATCACTGTCCCCGATTCCGAAAACATTAGACGGCTGGGGATGCGAACAGTGTTGCCCTCGAGGGCTGTATGGGCTCGAACCTGGGTCTTCCCCAGTGCAAAAGGAAATGCCATCCCCTACACGCCGGTGCCTCCCGCCGCGAGCACGTGGGTGGGCTCGGAGTCCCACCCGCGGCTTTTCGCTCCCAACCCTCGCACTAACTACAGCGGGGTGTGTAGTAAGGAAACCACAGGCAGAGCTCTGCGTGCAGTTGGGTATGCCCTGCACCGTTGGGGTTTCCGTCCCCTGTCCTGGCTGAGTTAAATTCCTTCCTGTCGCTTTAAGGAGACTCTGGCCACCGCGTAGTGGAAAGCCCGGATGCGGCCCTCTGATTGGGCGGGGCGCCTCTGATGTCATCCTAGATACAAAAGGGCCCGAGTGGCCGGCGCCGGGACAGAACATCCGAGCGATTTGCCTAGGAAGAGTTGGCGCGTTTTCCGCCGAGAACCAGCCGCTGTCTATTCCGCGCTGCTCAAGAGTCCCCGCAACCCTCACCGTCGAGTTGCCATGGAGGTACAGAAAGAGGCGCAACGCATCATGACACTGTCGGTGTGGAAGATGTACCACTCGCGTATGCAACGCGGAGGCCTGCGCCTGCACCGAAGTCTGCAGCTGTCGCTGATCATGCGCAGCGCCCGGGAGCTCTACCTCTCGGCCAAAGTGGAGGCCCTTGATCTCGAAGCGTCCTCGCCGCCTGCCGCCTGCCCGGACCCGCGCCTGCACCCGCCGCGAGAAGCAGAAGTACCCGCCGCGAGTGCGCCCCCCGACGGGGAGCCGCCGTCGCCGGAGCCCATGGACACGCAGGAGGAGGAAGAGGAGGCGCCCCCCAGAGCTGCGGAGACCCTGGCCCGCTACTCCCCGCGCCCCACCAGGGTCAGCCGCAAGCGACGCAGCAGTAGCCTGAGCGACGGCGTGGACGCCGGCCTCGTTCCCAGCAAGAAGGCCCGCTTGGAGGAGCAAGACGGAGCGGAGGACGCGTCGTCTGAGGTTCCTGATCGCCTGATGCCCCCACCCGCTCAGGCAGAAGGCGCCTTCCCCAATCTGGCGCGCGTCCTGCAGCGAAGCTTCTCGGGGCTCCTGAGCCGAGGCCCTGTCGCTGCCCCGACGGCACCCCCCGCGCGTGACGCCAAACCTGCCTGTCGCCCGGCGGACCCTATGCTGAGCGTGCTCGTGCGCGCTGTGGTGGCGTTTTGAGCACCGAGCCCGCTGCTGGAGCCAGAGCGCGCACAGAGCCGTCGACCTGAGCGGGCAACCCGAGGCGTTACGCCCTCCCCGAGGTGTGTGAACCAGCGAGAACGGAGAAGGGAAGCGGCCGCCCGGGCTACGGGATCCGGAGAGGGACAGTGCCCGGGGATCGTCGTCGTCCGCGCCGCGTCGGCCCAGGAGCCAGGGGCGCGGGCGCCTTCCGCAAGCCCCGCGGTGCCCAGAGGTGCTGATTTGTGGACTGGGACCTGGGTCACAGCCTCTCCTGCTTGGGAGAGGGTAGACTTGGTCCATCAATCTCAGGGTCGGATTTGATATCTTTACATTTTTAAATCAAACGCTGGGCCGCCCTTCCAAGACTTTCCAGTGTGCCCTTTCAGCCTCAGAGAATTCCAGGCCTCCCCTGCTCCTCTGGTGACATACTTGTGCAAGCGGTCACCGTTGCGTCATGGGGCAGGGGTGGGGAGCTTCCTGTCGCCTAGCGTGGGTGTAGGGCCTGGGAGGTGGCTCTGGGGCGTGGACCGCCCTGGGGAGTGGGAGGAGTGCGGCCTGAGTCACTGCGCCTTGCTGCTGCGAGAGCCCAGCGAGTTTCAGATTCATTTTTTTTGGTTTGTTTTTTGTTTTTAAATTTACTCATCTGTTTCTCTTAGAGAGGTGGCGCAACGTTCGCAGCCCAGAGCGTGACCACTTTTGGACACGCGGACATACAACCTAGATGAACCTTGGAGGGGTGGGAAGGTGCTGGGACCGAGCGATAACCGCATGGGCGGTGGAGGCCTGTTTACCTTACCCGCAGTGGGTGTTGTATACCTGGCGTCTCTTTGGAAATGTCAGCCAGGACAATAAAGACCATTGCAGTGAAAAGTGCGTTCTGTCTGGTTCTCTTCCCGTGGGAGAGGGGAGGGGCGGGGTCAGGCGCTGGCGGCTTTCAACTTAAGGAACCGGTCTTGCGGGTTACCGTGTGGGCGGAAGCACCCGGCCCCTTTGCTTTGCCCCAGGCGCCAGTGGCAGCGGAGATCCACTCCCTTCCCGGTGACTACTCTTAACTGTAGGTTGGGGGTTGCCTGTATTTCCCTGCAACTTATGGGGGGAGTGCTTCCTGGTTTCTTAACACCAGGGGGACATCAAGCGCCCCAGGCGGAGTTAGGAGGAGTACTTGAATCCCTGAGAGAGCTGTTTGCCGGGAGCTGAGACACCCTCCGGGAGGCTGAGGCAGGAATGTTCAAAGTTCGAATCCCGCCTGGACCATGCAAAGACCTGTCACAAAATTTATTTTAAAAAGCTGAAGGGTCTGAGTTCAATCCCCGGTTCCGCCAAAAAAAAAAAAAAAAAGCAAAGCTGAGGGGGCCAGGGAGATGGCTCAGAATAAGCGCCTTCCTGGTACGTACAAGTGCTGCCAAAAAAGAAAAAAAGGCTGAGGATGTAGCTTGGTACAAAGGTCCTGGGTTTAATCTTGAATATTGTTAAAAGCACAAAAGGGGCCAGGGAGATGGCTCAGTGGAATAAGTGCTTCCCTGGCAAGCGCAAGGGCCTGAGTTCAATCCCAGGTTCCACCAAAAAAAAAAAAAGTCAGGTCTCACCCCTTCCTCACCTGGGGTAGAGGGAGCTTCGGAATTTCACCGGTAGTTGTGGTGGCCCAGGCAAAGAGGCGAGTTCATTGCCTCAATTCCCTTACCTTGGGCACGGGTCTGAAAACCCTGTGTCACACTTTAGATTCAGAAATGTCCTTGTGAGCCGGGTGCAGTGGCACACGTCTCAAGTTTGAACCTAGCCTGGGTAACTCGGCGAGGAGACCCTGCATCAACATAAAACACGGGCTGGGGATGTAGCTGAAAACAAAGACTCAGTTCAATCATCACAATCAGTACACACGCGCACACACACTGTCCTTGAGCCCTCTAGCCCTCTAGTCTAGCGTGCTGGGCTCCGTCTCAGTTCCTGGACCTCCCGGGAGAGAGGACAAAACAAATTCCTTCCCTGCTGGTTTAGGGATAGCCGCAGGCGTAGCCTGGGGCCAGCGGAGGGGTGGTGGCGAGGACAAAGGAGCCGCAGGTGCTGGAGTCCGGGCGGTGGGAGCAGGGATTGCGCGGCCCCGCCTGCGACAGCTGGCAGCACCACCGCGGGCTCGGTGACCCAAGGGACCTGACCTGAGGTGTGGGGGCAGGCGGTCCGTGGGGACCTCGAGCCTAACTTGTGGCCTCCACCGCCTCTGATTCCTTTCGAGAACCTCTGGGTACTCAGCGGCACCTGCAACATCCCCAGGAGACGTGGGGGGTGCGTGCCCACGCCCCAGGGCCCCGGGAAGTCCCTGGAGGCGGGGAGGGGCCGGCGCACATCCTGTCGGAGGAACCGCCAGGCCCTTCCTTCCGCGGGAAACCATGCTCGACCCCCACCCTGCCGCAGTCTGGGGGTTTCCGGTGCCCGGCCTAGGAGAGGGACTAGAGAAGCGACTACGACAAGCACTCTTCACTCATCCTCCGAGATAGAGCTCCCCACCCCCACCCCGCCCACACACCTGAGCCTTCAGAAGAGGTAAAAGTGAAATTTTGCAGGGCTGAAGATGTATCAGGGTAGGCCATTTGCCTAGCGTGCCAGGCCCTGGTTCCATCATCAGCGCTGCATAAATACAAACATTATTATTATTATTATTATTATTATTATTATTTTCGAGACAAGTTCTTACTATGTAGTACAAGCTTGAACTGACTATGTAGCCCCCAGGTTGGCCTGCCTACTCATGGAGATCCTTTTGCCTCAGCCTTCCAAGTGCTGGGATTACTGATGTAGGCCACCGTGCCCAGGGATAAACACAAACTTGTCACAACTAATGACTTTAGCCAAATCTGGGGAATCTTCACACCATTCCCTGTGGCAGGCTATCTGCAATATAATCAATAGCTGTGGAAACTATAAATATCACCTAGCCTGGGACCAACAGATTAGGCAGGGAACTCCCTGCCTGCAGCAGAAGCCTCCCAAAGGTGTTCTTCTGGAATCCCAGCACTCCAGGAGGCTAAAGCAGGGAGATTATAAATTTAAGGATGGCAAATTGGCATTTTAGTGAAACCCTGTTTAAAAAAAAAAAGAGAAAGAGAAAATCGTGGCCGGGCATGGTGGCACACATGTGCAATCTCAGCACTCCCAAGGCTGAGACAGGAGGATGACTGTTAGTTCCAGCCAAGCCTGGGGTACACAGTGAGTCCAAGGCCAACCTGAACTATATAGCCAGAACCTGTCTCAAAAAAAAAAAAAAAAAAAAGGACTGACATGTAACAGTGTGATGGCCCAGTCCTTGTGTGTGTGTGTGTGTGTGTGTGTGTGTGTGTGTGTTCTGCTGGTGTTGCCTTACATCAGCACAAAGGAGAAATAACCTGCAGCCTGTAGTTGTGCTGGCCAAGGTGGAAGAGTTGCTGCTACTGCCCAGCTGGTGGGAGGCCTAGGCCAGAGATCTGCATACAACCCAGCCCTTAGCTGAGAACCAATAGCAGAGTGACAGGCGGCTGCGCCCCTCTGTGCCCTGAAGCCTGAGCACTTTGCTTTCAGTTTGGTAGTAGTAGTTCTCTTAGATTCTTCCCAAGGGTTGAGCCCTGGGGATGCGGCTCAGTGGTGAGGGCTGGTCCCTCATTCAGGGGTCCCTGGGTTCTATCCCCAGCGCCAAAAAGGAGTCAGATGAATCATCTAAAATGTACAGCAAGAGACCAGGGAGATGGCTCAGTGGAATAAGCGCTTCCCTGGCAAGGGCAAGGGCCTGAGTTCAGTCCTGGTTCCGCAAAAAAAAAAAAAAAAAAAAAAAAAAAGTACAACAAGGTGCCCGACACATTTTATTTTTTTTAAAGGTACTGGGGGTCAAACCCAGGAGTGCTTCACCACTGAGAGACATCCCCAGCCCTTTGTTTTTTTTTTTTTTTTTTTGGCGGAACTAGGGATTGAACTCAGGCCCTTATACTTGCCAGGCAAACGCTTATTCTGCTGAGCCATCTCCCTGGTCCTGAGATGTGGTCTTGCTGCGTAGCCCCGCCCCCCCCGTTGTGTTTAAATTCATGGAGCTTCACCTGCCTCAGCCTCCGAAGTGCCTGGATTGCACTCTATCTTTAGATTGAGAAGGACTTGCAAACTGAAAGGGATAGATTCCCAGGGATGAATTCCAAGTAACTTTGAATGTGAGGCTGGGATGTAGCTCAGTTATGGCTGCATGCCTGAGGCCCTGGGTTTCCTACTCTCCACCCCAAAATAAATCCTATAATTGAATTCAAGGCCTGACAGGACCCAGCTCATAAATCCTGATCTGTCACCCTGTGGCCACACTGACCTGCTTTTTATTCTCACACTTTCTGTCTTCCCAGCCACTCCCTTCTGTACACTGGGATCTGTCCTCAGCCTCTAAGGAGGAGACCCCTGAGGAGAGGTCCTGTGTGCACTCTCACTTGGTCCAAGATTCTTACGTTTTTTATCAACAGCCACGTCAAGAGCTGTTTTTATTTGACGATGAGGACTACAGAGGGATCCGGCAGCGGCTTCACGAGGAAGCCTTCCTGTGCATCTGGAAATGATCCATGCCAAGCTACCTTTGAGATGCGTGCTTGTCACGGCACTTTTCCTGAGGCCAAGGAAACCCCACCCTGTAAGAGAGCAGGTAGGGGCTGAGTCGACAAAGCTAGTCCTTTCCCACGCACGCTGAGATCGGCGCACTCTGTCGGTCTCTGCCCTGCTATACTTGCACCACCCGTTTACTAGACCTGTTGACCCGGTTCCTGGACTCGGGTGAGGTCCAGTCTCTGGTACCGGCCAAAGCCCAGCCCAGCGGGCCCTGGCCAAGATGCTGCGAGGAGGGGAGGGGCTTGATCTGCGAATGGAAATCTGAGCTGGGACGAGCCGGGGTGGGGCAACTGGTGGGGTGGGGGTGGGGAACTGGCCTGGTCTTCTGTGCCCTTCGCGCCTGGGCGGGGCTATGCAAATATAGTCCTTATTTCAGCTCCCGCCCAACGACTTCCGAGAACTCACGGGGGGGGGGGAGGGAAGGGGAGGTGACCCAAGGGAATCCTGCAGACGGGGCGGGGTTTGATGGGGGCGTGGCCTTTGGTGCGGCGAGAGCGGTACTGCGCCACCCGGGCTCCAATTGCTGGGTTGGGGCTTGGGACCCGCTCCATGCACCACCGAATGAAGGTGACCCAGACGCCACTCCCATGCCCAGAGGGACCTGAGCCCCACACATTTCTGTTTGGAGACCAATGCCATTCACATTTGTTTTTTGACGCTGATCTCGGGCTCATCCACCTCTTCTATTCAGGGGAGAGGGGTGCCCCCAGCCTGTTTAGGGGAGCTGAGGCTGTACCTGTGCTGCGCCCCTCTCTCAGCAGACATCCTGCCCGGCTCCAGCCACAGCTCCTCGGCGGCCCTCCTGTCTCCGTCCCCCCCCTTTTTTTTTTTTTTTGCGGAACCGGGGATTGAACTCACCCGCCAATCCTTTTAATGTCTTTCCAACCTTCGAGCACCCTTGGCACCATCACCGCCCATACGCTGTTGGCTCAGTTACGGATCTCAGCTTTCCCTGTGCTTTCCCCGTGCTTTCCCCCACCATCCTACACTGAGGTGGCAGGTTGGCACCCGGGCCCTGCATCCTGGCCGCTGTCTCACCCCACATCTGCCCCCCCCCCCAGCTGCCTGCCTGGCCACCCCACCCTGAGTTCCCGGAGCCGCTGTTCTCCCTTTGTGTTGTTCCGCGTTTATCCAGTCCAGGGCTCCCGGTCCAGGCGTCCAGGCACGCTAATCGGGAGCAAATGAGAGCAGTGGGAACCGAGGCCTTGGAGAGGACGGGCCAATGTGACATCCTGACCTGGGGACACTGGCCTGGTGCAGAGGGAAGA